ACATGAAGCTGATTGATCTAGACGAAGAGAGCATGTGTTGATGTTGGGCTCTGAACATTGAGGATTATTTTAACCGGACGACCCGCCATTTACAGTAGGGTGGAATCTTGCTGATGAGTTGGGCATGTTGAGATGTATGTGACGGAATTTGTTAATATGGAGAATGTGTTGAAGTTATATTCCAGCTGATAATTTGTGTTAAATGAGTGGCCCGGTAAATTTTTAAAATTCAGTAATAATGCAATTTCTAGTCGGATCCACTACCATCTGCTCTCTAAAAAAGAATATTTCTTAACATACATGATATGCAACAAGTTAAATACTTATAATTATTGCGCAGTAACAACTTTCCAGTACCAAAGGCATTAAAACAATTAACTTAATATAATTCAGTGTGACAATAAAAAATACATGGATGGTTTACCAGCTTTTACTTATCAGTAAATTTTGATCCTTGTTAATTTTGTACCATGATGACCTTGTATTATTTCTTATGTATATTTGATGTCCTTGTACTATTTCTCGTGTATATTTGAAAGAGGAAAAAATATAAAGAAAACCTATTTGCATGATAGCCAGCCAAGTGCCTAAACCAGAGGTCTGCAAACTTTTCGGACTATTATGCCATTTCAAGGGGGTCAAGAAGGCACAATGGGCCAGAAGGTGCCCAAAGAAAGGTTGTTTTATTCAAAATTATGTTACAGTCAAAAGGAAACATGATGTTGCATGTTAGATAGAATATCAGGTTCTAATAATGAGGAGCTTAGCAACAGAATGAATGTCATTAAGGAGATCATCAATGAGCTGAGAGCGCAGCTTGTACTTGCAAAACTTCATCTTGGAGAACAGCTGCTGGCACGAATGAGTGCTGCCAAATATTGCGATCACACGCTTGGCACGGGCGAAAAAATTCAGTGAAGAGATTTCATTCCCCAGGGTTAACAGCACACTGGTGCATTCTTCAGTGTCAATGAGGGCTGCGCCGCCTGCGCCACACTGTGAGAGGTGAGGGAAATCAACATAGTCGCCTTTGTACAGCTGTTGCTCCCATAGAATCAGCTTTGCATCAAATGGCTGCATGTGGGCTTCCATGTTCGTGATGAGCATGTCACGTCCTTGCACCTTCAGGTTAAATTTAGTAAGGTGAGAGCTGATATCAGTGAGGAAGCCAAACCAAGAGAACCAAACTTGTCAGAGAACTTTTGAAAGCCAGCAAACTTTAGTGTGGTAAAGCAGATCGCCTTTATCAGCATCTGCAGCTTTGCACATGTACTTGAAGATTTGATGGTGGAGAGGACAAGCAAGAATGCTGTGCACTAAATTCACCACAACAGACATAATGTCCTTTATGTCTGCTGCCTTAACACACAATCAATCCTGGGGAATGATGCAGGTCACCTTGCTTATCTCCTTTGCACAGCCCAAACAGCGGCAGTGGTTGATGAGCAGCTGCCAAAGCACTTGATACATCCAACTATGGCATCATTAGTTACAGAGACCAGCTTCAACAGGTCGAAACCACTCAAAACAGGTAGGAGGGCATTGAAGACATCTTGGCCAGTTGTCATTCCCTTCATCGGGATGAGGCTGAGAAACTTCTTGACTACCTCCAGGTCTTATGTGATGTCATGCGCAAAGATGGCTAGGCGTGCAGTGTCCTTAATATCACAGCTCTTGTCAAAAGTGATGGAGAATATAACCAGAGTTTTGAACTTTGTGAACATCGAAGACCGGACATCAGAGGCCAAGTCCTCCATGCATCAAGTTACAATGTGGGCAGACATCAGAGGCCAAGTCCTCCATGCATCACGTTACAATGTGGGCACACATCAGGACTGCCTTGAATGCTTTGTGTTGCTCTGGACAAATGACATCAGGACTGCCTTAAATGCATTGTTTTGCTCTGGACAAATGACGTCAACTGCATGTAAACAATCAAATTCTGCATCATTGAAGGGATGCATTTTCTTTGCAAACAACAAGGACGCTTCTTAGGAGGCATGATTGATGCTCGGCGGCTTCAGAAGCTTTGGAGGGCTGCTTCTTGAAGAGTGATGACTGTTGATCCAACGGTGACTGCAAGGGAGAAGCCTCAGTTTTCTGCTGTTCCACCATGTAGTCTCTGTACCTGAGCTTGGTTGGCATCAAAATGGCCCTTGAGATTCAGCCGCTTGATAGTGCTATTGGTGTCGTTGGGAACTCATTCGAGATCAATCTTCCGGAGTTGCACATTGGTTCTGTTCTGAGGTTACTGTGCAGGAACTCGATGTCGGTAATATGACCATGAAATAAAATTGGTGAGTGTTCCTTTGATGATTGTCTGTGCTCCGATTCTTCATTCTTGGAATTGCATCACAGTACACAACACATGCTTTGACCTCGGTGGGAGGTGAGTGAAACCTCTGAGCCCTTAGAGTGAACTTGATTTTAACACAACATTCATCATCTCCCCGGTCGGGCGCTTCTGTTTCATACAAGCGCCTGATACACTGGCCACAACTTGAGTTGCAAGCTGCGGTAATGAAGGGGATCAAAATGGTGTCAATTCAATTAGGGTTCGGCCAAACTAGAATAGATTGGCCATATGCCATATCTGGCCTAATGCCGGAATTTGCTGACCCCCCCCATATCTGGCCAAAAAGCCGGAGTTAGCCGACCCCCAGCCTAAACATACATACAAGAAAGATTGCCAATTAAATAGGTGTATCTAAAACAATAATCATCACCTGATAACTACCTAAATTATTATCTTATATTTGACATTTACTTAAAATACTTGATAGATTAAGATTAAGGAAAAATAGCTTATAACATATTTTAACTAATGTTACCTAAAACAACAGAAGACATTAAGGAACATTAATGATGGTATAGGTGACCATAATTTAAGGCCCTTCTGAAAGTGGCTCCATATTGCTTCTCATAATCATTGTGATGGTTTTTTTTCACAAAACCACACCCTGCTATATTTTCAGCTGTTTAAAGTTTTAATTCCATTCAGTGACTATAATATTTTGGACGAAAACTAAAGTTTTATTGATTTTTAGTTTTATATTTTTAGAGAAAAGATCAGCAAATGATATATACCTTCCTAATATTCAGCCCAGGCCATTATAGCCACTTTCATTATTTCTGATTGAGCCCTACTAATAGTAATTTGAGTTAAAAAATTATAACTGATTTAAATGGTGTAGTAAGGATTTAATATTGTGCATTTTTATCATATAAATAAAAATAATACTTTTTTTCTTGACTTCAATTAAATTTGGGTACTGAGCGGTCAATTATTCAACCAAATTTATTTTTAAATTTCATTCCGAGTTGACTCAAGTATAAAATATTTAATCCAATAATTAACTGTCTTTATCTCTTCATTAGACATTTAAAAAATATAGAATACCTTTCTTATAAAGTTACCATTTTAAAATATAAGTTATCAATCATTGTGAATATAACAGGTTGCATAGTAGTAATGTAATCATCTCTAGATATGAATGAGCATAGTTTTTAAGAAGTGGAATTTCTCATTTTAGGGAGAGAATATAGAGAGATATAGAGTTTCTTATTTCTGAAATCATGTAGTTATAGTCACAACATTTCATAATTATAAAATTTTTTATTAACCCTCTTGATAAAATCATGCTAAAATGTCAACACAGAAATGTTGACCTTATAAAGTGGACTTCATAGAATTAATGCTGGTACATACACCAAGTTAACATGGCAATGCAACTTTGAAATGATATACACCTTTAAGCAAAGTAGTTACATTTTTTTTAAATTATATCTTTACCTTGTATTAAAAAATAACCACAATTTTGTAAAAGATTTACATTGTATTTTCAGTATGCTTGAAAGTTGTTTGTTGACAAAATGAAGGAGATTATAAATTCTCCTGTAGTTCATGCTTTTGAATTGTGTGCCTTGTTTTTGTAATATTTTGCTGGCAGAATTTACTTACATGAGCTATGCTAGTAAATATAACAGTGTGCAATGATTATCAATTTTCTATGTATTACCCTGTTTAAAGTCACATCTTGTCACAAGTGAGGACAAATCATAAAAACCAAGTCTACTGTTAAAATAAACAGAAATTACCTTTAATTTACTGTTGATCCTTTAGCTTTCGTTACAATATTCTTTTCAGTTATAAATTTATTTATGAATCATTTTTTTAAACCCAATGTCAACAAATCTAAATCTGATTCATTAACTTTCTAATCTAAGAAATGTGGATCTACTATTAAGTTAAATCATTTTAATGTATTACAGTAATAATTTTAAGCATACAGGAATATTTAATCTAGTCATTATTTTGTATATATATCCTCATAGACTTATTGACAATTACATAATTAAATTATGTATTTAAAACTTATTGATTTGTGGCTTTATTTTTCAAGACATTAATTCAAGTCAATTTCTGTTGTATAACTTGCCTATCCCAAATATCTCATCTATTTAAATTAAACGAATAAAATAATAGTCACTCAAAAATTCTTTTCTTTGGGAGGCTAAAATTAAGATAAAGTTATCCTTATGGTAGGCTGTGCACAAAATTATGAAAATGTACTATTGAATAGCTGATTTGAAATGTACTTATTATGATCTCAAATTCAATTCAGCACATTTCAAAATATTATAATTATTAAATTGTTACCCGTAAATTAAATTGGGCATTTGTTTATAAGTTACCAAAATTAGTTACCCGTAAATTAAATTGGGCATTTGTTTATAAGTTACCAAAATTACAACTGCAACAAGTGAAAGTAAATAAGTAAAAATGTACCAAATAAGTGAAATGCAAAGAATCAAGTGTAATCTCCTAATAAGCAGATGACCTCTATTAGGACTTCATACTAAATTCACAATGGCTGGAAAAAAATTGTTTATAATGTAAATTAACAATAATTTCAGCAAAAGAGCTGGCTTGGAATGTGTTCTATAGAAATGTCATGCACAAATAAGTATTTGGAATTGCTAATAATATAAATTTCTAAGGCAGACCTACAAATAAAAAAAATAAATGGAACACTGAAATTAAATGGGCATGAAATTTATTTGACACACATGAAAGGTAAAGAGAGCTTACTCATAGGCTGCAGTGATTTTGAATTATCAACTGAAATGTTCTGAACACAAAGATATTATCAGAAACACAAAACATATTGAGAATAATAATTTTATATCCCCAAACAAAAAAATGCCAAAATAACTTTCAATTTTTCAAAGCTAATAACTTAACTTACCCCAAAAAATGAGTTCCATGGTAATTTTACTTAAATTATTTGTTAAGAAACTCAACTGTGTTATTTTATTTCCATGTTAATTATTTCTGTGTTACAAAAACAAATCGTTTTCTAATATGCATTATGTCATGAACTGGCTACCAGTAATGTGACATAAATTACTATTTCTTTGGAAGTTCATAAGCAAGAACTAATAATATTGTGAGGCAATCAGTTTGAACAAGACAGATAGCACCACATATTTTAAGTTTAAAGGGAATGTCTATATACATTTTTTTTTAAAATGAAGACTGAATTATTTTTTTTTTTTTTGTAAAACCAGGAAAACTAGTCCACACTCAACACACTCAAAAGCTACCACACATAACAAAAATGCATGCATCTATGGTAAAACAATTACATGCAAAGAAAGATATTAAAACTTTAAAAATTGCTACGGAAAAAATTTATAATACATGCTTTATTGCAATTATATAACATTATGCTAATTATTAGTCAAAGAAAGCTTATCCATGATTCTAAGAAATTGCATTACTTCTGTAATCAACTTAATTTTTTTAAAACTTGTATTTCTTTGCATTGCAGTAATAACTTGGGAAAAACTAAGTAGGAATGAAAACCATTTTCATAATTTCAATCGCCAAATACATGTGGTTTTTGTCACTGTAATTGTAATGAAACATATCAAGTCTAGCTATCAACTGGTAAAATATAATAGATTTTAATGAGTTTAAATAGAAAATATTGAAAATGCGGAAAGACAACAAAAAATCAAAACTCTGGGTATTAACCAAAATTGTTCCAAATATACACCTAAAATGTTTTCAAATTAAGCTCAAACATTGAACATTTTAAAAACCAACTGTAAATGATGGACAATAATTTCAAATTAATTTATCATCTTATTTTTTAGTTACATGCACAAACAAATTAGTCACACACTAAAATTACAGAACTAAAAAAAAAGGAATCACAATTAAAATTATATTTTAGAAATGCATTAAAAATAATTATGTTGTGAAGAGAAACAAAAAAATTACAGTACTTGAAATTACTTCATTGCTGCACAACAAGGATTCCAGAATAACATTGTATCCTAGTCAACATAAAGATTGACTGACAAATGAAGTAAGAAAGCTTAAATACAATTCAACCTTCTATATAAGACAGGAAATAAGGGCTGATAAGGAAAATAAATTTAAGTACCAGTAATTAGAGCAAGACAAAAATAGTTAGATCATGGGCTACATTAATATTCCCTTATACTTAAATATCCTCCCAATAATCCCACATTTCGAATTTTGAAGAACATTTTTTATTTAGTGTATTTCTCAAAAGTTTGTCTTAATATATTGAACCATCATTAACGTGAAAAGTTAATACTTGCATGACATTTTAATAGAACTTACTGAGGGGAAATATCTAGTTCAATGAAACTTATTTATTATCACTTTGTCTTTTCCTTACAGAGATAATAACATGTCTTGCATAAAGCTATTATTGGAAACATTTTTTTTTTTAAATCAAAGTAATCATTGACAAAATGTATCTTTGTGTCAGAAATCATGAACACATGGGAGCAAAACCTACAAGCTGCGATGTCAACATGGTATTTTGTAACTATGTAATAACTTACCATTCCAAAATGTTGCATAATTGACCAGTGAATGTCCTTGACTAGTTAAAAAATTAAAGCAGATATAAATAACTACTATCTCAAAATGCAACAGTTAAATTCTTCATGATACTCCTAACATCTCTTTAAAAATATATGAGACAATAGTTAGTCAAAACAATAAAGCTTTAACAAAACAAAAAAGAGAAGGCTGAGATTACACCATAAATTCAAACAAGCCTTAAAAAATATCAAGAGCTTACACACCAAGGCAGTTTGAGATCCCTAGGATCAGAAGTAACATGGCTCGTTATATATAAAATTAAAAATACAAAAATATGATATGTGCACACTAATGCTTTTTTATTATTTGTGAGCAAATTAGAAGCCTTTTAACATTTAAAAAAAAAGATAAATATACTGCATATGATACATTTTTCAAGTTATATACTTAGGAACTTTCAAAAATGGAACTTAGTAAATAGTTAAAATGCTTTTATTATAACTCTGAAACCAAATAATTAATCTTGCTTGAAAGGGGCAACATGGATCAATAAAGCAATAACATCACAAAATATAGATATTCACACTTTGACAGTCTTTTAATTTAATGTGGAAATGCCATTATCATTGCTTTAAAAAAATTAAATAGATTCCGCATGATATTGTGAAGCCAATCTCTTGATTCATACCTTCACATTAAAGTTTCTAGAATGGCATCGTCAATTTATTCTTAAATTCTAACAGGAAATTTTAGAAACTTCTAAAAGCAATTTTTTTTATTTATAACAGTTTAAAAAATCTTATTATTTTGGAATACCACAATCATCAGATTTGACCAGAGGTCTTTTTTTTTTGTTGTAAGAGACAATGGAGGTCAGACTGTCAAAAAAAACTGATTTCTTTCAATGCATGAATGTAAATTTAAATTTATGAAATCTGCATGCAATTAACTTCCAGATAAAAAATCTTGGGGTGGGATTCACAATATCATTGTGGATCCAATAGCAGATTGAGTGATACATTTGCATTTATAATATAACTTTAATATTGAACATATTTCAAACATTTCAAGACAATAAATAACCCAATAATATATGATACACATTTCACTCATGGTAGATGCACAAAACTACAACAGCAACCACAGCAATACATAATCATATAAAAATATCAAATTATATGTTCTCAAAGCCAGACAACCATTTTTAATTTAATACAACCATTATTTATTTAATACTGCACAGTTGTGGTGAATACACTATGTTTATCTTTCAAAGGAGTTCTTTAGTTAAGATATTTTTATTGATCCTAATAAATGGAAATTTGTTATTTAAATTCATTTCTTACTACAACATTTCTAAAATGTGTTTCTGTAAGCTCTGAAATCCTTGAGCTTCCTAGAAATTTAAGCTGTAAATAAAAATTAATAAATATAAGGTTTAAGTTTAAGGCTTTCAGTTACTTAAATCTGATTTTTTTAAATTAATAACAGCCCAAAATATCTCCAAATCTGGGTTATCAAAAGTCTGACAATGGTCAAAAATGATGCAAAGATTCATAAATTGACGGAAGAATTACTACTTTATAAAAGCTTATTCAATTTTTAAGATCTAGAACAAACTAATTAAAAAATTATGTTGTTAGCAGAAGAAAAAAAAAGTTAACCTCAAAAGAAGCTCATAAAAAGGAAACGAGCCATAAAGAATTTTCTTAGAACAACAGAAAAAAGATTTAAATTTACAAAATATGTAATGTGCCACCTAAAAAAATAATAATTTACATAGTAGAAAAGTCTCAGGACCTAATGGCGGCTAACAGCTAAAGAAATAAAAATTCAAATATGTTTTAAATATCTGTAAATCACCACTTTTCTTGAGTACACACTAGGAGTCACCTGATACATCAGTACCATATTTGGAAGCAATGCTGCGACCCATGTACTGCCAATATTCTTTGCGTAGTGTGTCATGTTCCTCAGCAAGTTCATTGCATAACTGTATTTTAAAAAAAACAATATCCTCAAGACCAGAAAGATAAATAATTTTGGCATTTACTAAAACATCTATTTCACCTATGGTAGATTTTTTTAGTGCACCATTAGGTAAAATAAATTATTAAAGTGTGCATAGCCCTACAAGATGTTTTTTTTACCATGGGAATTCCTAAAAGATTATTTGAATGACATACATATTTCTTCCTTTTTTTTTTTACCTTGAAACATACCAATGCGTTAATTGAAATTTATAAGAAGTTGTTAAACCAAATTTATTTCAGACCAAAAAAGATGACGGCAGGACATTTAAGAGAAAGAATAACTTTCTTTTTAGTCACTAAAGTACGGTATCTTTAGAGTACTTCAGCTGATCAAGACTTGGTTTTTGAAATTTTTAAATACAATTACAATTGTATCTGGCACTGAAATTTTAAATCATGATGGGAAGGACATGGGACAAAAATAAAAAATGTACGTTTTGATTCCTTATACTGTTCTGATTATGGTATCAAATGGTTCAACATTAAATATGGCAACAATTTCTTTATGGTTGATTTGTTTTAAAAATCAACACACATTACACTACATACATAACTATATATACCTGTAAGGCTTTCTGCAAAGTTTCTTCTTTTTTAGGCTTTCCAAACTCTAACATTTCTTCATAGCTTTCTATCATGCATGCAATAAGAAATGGTGACCGGATCTGCTTTGAGTACAAATCATGACAAAACTCCAGGACACTGGGATTATCAAAAAGCTTGCGATCCAAAAGTACCCTGTATTTTTATAGAAATTAAATTTGTGCATTATGTAAAGAGATTAATTATTTACTTTGGAGTACAGAGAATTTACAAAATATCATTACACAAGGTAGTAATTCATAATTTCAAATAAACTTTATATAATGAATAGTGCATTATACTTATTTTGCTTTTTCAAATATCTAAATTATCAGATAGCTGATAATTGCCACAACATAAATATTCAAAATAATAAAATATTCAAAATAATATCAGTGAACAAACATATACAAGGCCATGGTAGGAAAATATTCATTGTATATATACAAGAAATTGCTTTATTTTCTTTAATAATAAGTATTTTATCAAATATTTTTTATTGGCCTCACTAATGAAATTAAAGAAGTTAAAAATGTGAAGTCGTAGATACTTAATAGAGGATCCTAATAATTCAGATTCATGCACTTGCAGAGTGCAATGACATGAAAATGAATATTCAAATTTTTTAAATGTTATGGAAAATGAAATTTTGTTAACCCACGAACTGTGATCGGCCGAAAAAATCGGCCGACATTCTCGTTCTGTACATTGGCGGCCGAAAAAAATCGGCCGATAAAAAAACACTGTCCGATAGCAACTTCCAATCCAATATTTAACCGGAATTATAGCCACTTCCATTTATTTAATAATTAAATCATCTTCCGGTTCAAGCTGTTTCTTGATAACTTAAAAATAAATACATTTTTGAGCCGCTGTGTTACAGTTTTTTTCATGGAAAAACTAGTAATATAGTTACATTCTATGTTTTGTTTCTGTGTGAGATGTTAACTTACTGACAGGAAGTTAACTCAAAAACCATAATCAGACTTTATTCAAAAAATATATTTTTTGTCTTATTTATCGTATTTTGAGGACAGTTAGCAAGTATATTTCATGGCAAGTAGTGATAAGGTTACCAAACATACTGTATGTAGTTGGAAATATGCTTATTCAATAAGATGCGATTACATAAATTATTGGAAGTGAAAATAATTAGTAATTAATTGTTTTGTAAATTTAAAACTTGAAGGTAAGTTGGCACATTTTTATAACTGTTGAATGCTTTTCTCTTATAAATAATAATTTAACAATCTTAAGAAAAATTTGTTTTAGATTTATCTTAAAGAAAATTTATTTATGTACATTATTTATAAAATATATGTTAATAAATAAGTAAATGGAAACTGTCATTTGTACATAGACCTACATGTGGGAAAATGTGACCTACATTTAATTCAGCAACAATGTGTTAGCTAATCAGTTAAGCAATTCTGTTACATTTTCTTTTCAACTGCTGAACTCTGCAAAGTTGTGTTACATTGCTTTACATCATATTACAAAACAAACAAACAAATGTACCCTTTCATATAATTCCAGGCACTTTCATTATTTGGGGCTTTCCTGATGAAATCTTGGGCATATCTATTTGAGAAAGCAAAACAATTCAGTGAAATTCTCAAGTATTCTAAATAATATATAAAACAATACATTTCTAATGTGCAAGTGTCAAATGTTTTGGAATCAGAGGCACCACTTATTACCATTTCTTCGCTTAAAGCAAATAGCAACTCTATAATTATGGTTAAATATAAAATATCTTTCTAACTAAATGCATAAATACCTATCTTTTTCCAAATACAAAACATAATAATAACATTTTTTTTTTAAACTTAACTGATAGCTTATCAGCCCTACCCTTGTAATGACATATTTTAGCCCTATCCATGTAATGACATATATATATAGACATATTAAACCGTCTCCCCCATTCTGTGCACACAGCCCTTTATGAGTTGGGTGAATTTAAATATCATATATCAAGCTGGACAAATCTTATATATTGATATATTTATTAACCTGCCCTTCACACTTCACTTGTTTGAAATCTTGATCCACACGTAGCCCAGAAGCTCTTCTTTTTTCAAGACTTTTACTTATTTAAATTTATTCTTTGTGTCCATGGAAATGTGCCTATTCAGTATATTGAATGTAGCAGGATTAAACTTAACACAAACAAACAAAAAATTATGAATAGCAAATTATGTAATATTAAGTGTTCTTTCTTAAATGCAATAATTCAATTTTCATAGATTTTTTTCAAAAAGACCTTGTCTTTGCTCATCAAATTTTCAGCTTACTTACTTCAATTCTTTTACTACAACATCATCTGTGTACCCAGTGGTATTCTTAATAACAAAATGTCTCTGGTTCCAAGCTGAGTTGTTTCTAACATCTTCCTTCAGGAGTTTATCAACATAATCTAGCTCTTTAGCCCACAGAGAAAACTGCTGAATACACCATTGCCTTGAAAAGGGAATCCAGAGTAACTCATAAAATTTTAACAATTAACAAGTGTGATACATAACATTATATTTCAAAAGTCAGGACAGAGAAGAATAATTCAAATGGCTGAACTTCTGTTTGATTATCAGTTAATAATTGATAATTTTTCCTTGAACTTTTTTTTAAAATGAAGAATATTATTACATTAATTAGTAAAATATCCAATACAATACCTCTAATTAATGCTACATTTGTTTACTTGGTTGCAACAAGTTAATAAAGCTATTTAATATACATAACATTTAACCTGCTTTTTTTTTTTATTTTACAAAAATTATGGCAGTGTTACTTTTTTGAAAATTGAATAACATATTTTTGCATCATGGGCAATTAGTTACAGGCCTATTCCAATATGTGTGAATCACTGCAATGAGCACAGTTTTGGGGACCAATGCATTAAAAGCTTTTAATCTACTCGCTTCTTTTAAATAACAGCATTAGGTTATTTGTCAATAAGCTGGGTGCTTTGCACTCTAATAATTAATGCAGATTTGTGAAGACAGTACTAGTAAATTTAAATGTTTTATGATGATCTAATTGTAAGTTGAAATGGAAAAGATTACAGGAAGTAGAAAAATGTAAAAATAAGATTTTAACAAAAATATATTGAAATATGTAACATATAAGAAATACAGGAGAACTGAGGATCACCCAGTAGCATTTTTAGCTTATTATCCAAAGAAAGTAAAAAGGGTGCTGCTTATCAGATATATGACTTTATAGAAATGTAGGAAAACAATCTTTTTAAATTCCTGTTAAAACTTGATCACCATACCTGTGTTGCCATGCATGGTAGTTTTTTGCATCATCTTGAAGGATCTTTTCAGTAAACAGGAGCTCATCTTTTGCATCTTCTAACCATTCCACAATGACTCGACGATGGTGCCTAATGAAAATATAGAAAGATTGTAAATTGAGGTATATGTATCACTACAATCTTGGGAGTAATTATAATTAAGTTTTTTTCAGTCCTGAAAATACATGTTTGAGTTTTCCGTTGTTTCTTAAAATTAGTCTGTAGCAAGACATTCGAAAAGAATAACTGTTGAGTTTTTGAGTGAGAACAGAGTCGTGGATTTTTGTTTGAACATATTTTCCAATATGGCGGATAAAAATTTGTCTTGGTTTATGGCAACAATGTCCAAAAAATCCAATAGACACATGTTGCTCGTGATAAAAAAACCACAAGATTATCAGTCAAAGCAGATAAAACACATTCAACATGCCTTGATTCCAAAGAAAACTTTGTAAAAATCTCCGAACTATTACGAAAGCTGAAAAAATATGCACAGATGAAACCATTCGTCTGGAGCGCGGCACCCCGTAAGTATAAATTAAAATGATACTAATTTGTTAAATTTAAAAGATTTCCCATGCATTTACTTGATTCACCATGAATTTTCTTGCTTCCCATATTTTGACATTGAAAAATCAAGGGAAAGCTTCATTAAAATAAGTATATACTGAGCTAAAGAATCATTAAGAGCAGGGGTGTGGAACCTTTTCTTCTGCCAAGGTCCATTTGAAAATTTAAAGTCATTCGTGGGCTATAAAGAAATCAGGGCCGGCGCCCCAGGCGCAGTAAAATTTGCATACCCCCTCCCCCTACATATATCCACCAATTATACACCACCAATTATAACCATAATAATAATAAAGATTATTTGAAAACCACGCTTCATCCCCAAAGGCTTGAAGCGCGGTACATACCAAATTGAAGTACAAAATGCAACATTACAAAAACTACAAGAATACCCATTCTAAGTCTTTCATACCATAAACAACACAGGCCAATATACATCTACAAGATAATATCTAGATAGACAACATCATCCCAGTAGGTGTTTGCGAAATAGATAAGTCTTCAAATCAGTTTAAAAGACTCCAGTGTCTTGCTGTTTCTGAGAGTGACAGGAAGGGTGTTCCAAATTGTTGGGCCAGCAAATGCGAAAGTGGGCCCCTCGTAAGTCTCAAGGTGAACACATGGTATCGAAAGTCTGCCACTATCAGATGAGTGGAGTTGTCTAGTGGATACATAAGGCGTCAGTAACGCTTTGAGATAGGACGGTGCCAGGTCATGCAAGAAGCGGTAACACAGAGTTGCAATTTTGTACTCTATGCAAGCGCGGACCGGCAGCCAATGGAACTCTCTCAGAAGTGCTTTAGCATGGTCGAATTTGCGTTTTCGAAGAACAATGCGAGCCGCATTATTCTGTGTTTTTTTAATTTTATCCAGGAGTGTAGCTGGAAGACCCACCATAAGAGCTTTGCAGTAGTCCATGCCTGATAGCACGAATGCGGCCTTCAGCTTCTTTGATGCATCTAACGTTAAGAAAGGTCTGTGTTATAGAGAGCTTGTTTACATAATATTTCTCGTGCGTGCCCTCTGATTGACCCTGCATGAGACGCTGTGTTCACAAAGGGGTGTGGCTTAGGTCTTTGATGTATTCTTGTTTACGCGCCAACGAATAAAAATAATTAATCTGCTCCAAATAGTATTTGGTAGAATGATTGGGATTTGTAGCTTGTAGAAGGCAGGGCTTAGGCGTCGGTAGACCCACCTATATAAGGGATTGACAGGCACGACGAGAGACGGAGATTTTCATATAGATTCTCTTAACATTACGAGGCGTGTTTTATTCTTTGTGTATTTGTGTGCTCCTACTTATATGTGTTTATTTCGCATTATTTATTGGCATCATTATTTCTAATTGTATTAACTGTGTACCGGTACGAGATCTACCATACTGTAAGTTGAAGATTGTAATTTTATTTTATTTTCTTTTGTAATTATCTTAAGACATAATAAATCTTAATTAATTGTAACTAGAAACTGTTTTGGGTCGTATCCTTAATATTGTTGATTATATGGTATCGTCCTTTGTTAGGCACTGTTTACAATGAGCCAATTAAAATTAAAATAGGAGATTAATTTCTCCCAATACAAGTCAGTGCGTAACAGTCTGATATGACTAATTCTGCACAGCTCTAGAAAAATCGCCTTGCAAAGCATGTTAATGTGATTTTCCATAGTTAGTGTTCTAAGTAGACACCCAGGTTTCCCACTGTTTGAGCAAACTCAATCTGTATACCTGAGAGAGTAAGTGTTTGTTTATTATTTATATATTTAAGCTTTTGAGCGGTAGCAATGGTGATCAGCTCAGTCTTTTCATCGTTCAATTTAAGCTTGTTTATAGTCATCCAGTGCTTAACAGAAAGAATATGATGCAACTTAATATAATATACTCCTGATATAACTGGATAACTGCCCAAAACCAAAATAATTAAATCCCTTTAAAAAAAAAAAAATGCCAACTTGAAAGTTCCAAATCATAGTGCATGTAAGTTGTAAGTAATGCAACTAAATATATTTAAATGGCATTATACAAAATCCAATGCTTACCACACTTGATAATTTTTAGGGTTATCTTCAATTACTTGTGATATATACTTCAATTCATTGCTTAAGTCTTTGTTTAGATCCTGCAAGATATTTCTACGGTAGTTCCTAAAGAGAACACAAAAATAATTTAAGTTATCAACAAATTCATGTGTTATCACCACTAATGTATTGGAAATTAAAATTATTTTAAGCTTTTTCTAAATAAATTTAGAAAATTATCATATTACCATAAAAATCATGGGTGTGTAGGTATCCACTAGAAACAACATGGATCTGCAGCAGACTTTGGGTCTATCCGCTGATTGTGACCTAAATGCCAGCACATATGCCATTACTTACCAAACGGAGTAGTTTGCCGGATTTAGTTCTGCAGCTTCTTTAGTAAGACTGAGTGCTCTTTCAGACTTTTCATCTGCAGCTACCACTGCACGAAAATAATCATACACTTCACGAACTGTGAATATGAAAGAAAATAACATTGAAGTAAAATTATATTTCACATTCTATTAAAAAATAAAAATTCAGCTATTTTGAAGCTTTAATCAACTGTATAAAACTTTTGCCTAAATAATTCCACATTTTATTAATATTATGCCATGAAAATGATTTGGTTATAAAACTTGTCTTTAAAAAAATCTTAACTTTTGAATGGGGCTTTGGAGATGCCATTTTTGGAGAGATTGGCTTCAGGTTATATTTCTGGAGCTCCATTTGAGTTAATTTATTAGGAGATGGCAGTTGAGGATTAGGGGCAGAGTTAAAAAGAAGAAAAAGATAGTGGATATTAAGGTGGATGAGGTTAGCACAGAGTGAGGGTGGAATGTGTATAACAGGATCTGCTCACAAAAAGAGATTTTGGGGTGATTCAAAGAAAAAAAAAATTAAGGAAATTTCTTTTGAAGTATTAGAAAAAAAGTATGTACTTCATTCTAACTTTTTTGACTGGTGTGAGTATCTTCCATTAACAATAGGCCAATAAATTGAACTTTGAAGTAGAGGAAGCATAAATTAAAGGATATGATAAAAACATATGCCTATGGCTGCTATTTCACTTTGTAAGTAATCACAAACTGATATCAATTATGCAAAAATGGCAATGTGTATTAATGTTACATATGATGCTTGGATTTTTGAATTTTTAAAAAAAATTTATTAGACTGAAGAAGAAAAAATAAAATCAGAAAATGATATTAGGTTTAGAACTAATCAAAATAAAAAATTGTATGTACGCCTCGACCAAAAGGCTAAAATTCTAAACAAGAAATGGAAATTTTCTTTCATTAAAATTTTGGCAGGTGACGGGTATGGCCAGGCCAGTATATTATGCAATGGGCTGAGCAAAAAGTACATTAAGTAAAATTTGCTATGAATAGATGCAATGCTTCCTTCCACACATATTCAGGGTGAGCCATTGAATGTAGCCTTGTCAGTTACGGCAAAAAAAGAGCAAACCCATAGGGGAAAGAAAAAGCCTATGGAGCCTTTTAGCGTATGCATCTTCAGTCTGGGACCCCTCTCCCCACTAGACAGCGATAGGGCCATGACAGGCACTTTCGGTTGGTAAAAACAAGAACTCAGTACAGGAGCTCCTCATTCCTGCCAAAGACAATAAGGAACTGGAACAAGCTTCCAAAAGCAAAAGTTTAGGCGACTACACTTGACACATTTGCATCTAATGCCTCCTGTCTTCCAACACTCAGCTCATATATCATCGCTGAGCAGCCCTTGCAACCAGTGAAGTATCCCTTTCAAAACCATGCAGTTACATTGCAAACCCCTTTTTAACATAGGAGCCAGAATGATCAATACCCGGTACATTGTTCGAGGCCCTCAAAATATAGAAGAACAACAACAAAGTGCAGAGGTTGAGTAAATATCCTAATAACAAAATGTTTGATAAAAAATAACAATGAACCATCCTTATGTGCTGAGTTTCATTGAAATTGACCTTTTGAATGTACATATCATACATGCTCAGATATGATTTTACTGCCAATAAACAAATCTTATTAGTGCCCAAGGTGTAGCTACTTTATTGTAGTTTAATGCTCAGATATTTAATATGTGAAAACCCCAAATAGGAAGAGATAAGACTGTACAGTCTCAGTTGTTTTGTTTTTTTAATACTGGCACCGCACAACCCAATTACAGCAATTACAGACATTTTGATAGATTAAGTGTAAACTGTCAAGTTATTATGTATTGAAATATTTTATTTTTTTTTAAAATCAATTTTTATGGGGTATATGCTGGATTTCCAGTGTGAATCAAGTTATTTATTTTTTTTAAAAAAACATCATTAGCTGATTTAGCTAGTTACCAAGAGAAATGAAAACAGGATCAAAAATTTAAAATTTGATGAAATAATTCCAGCCGGTAAATTAATTTGCATGCTAGGCTATAAGTCGCAAAATAATTCAAAATAGGCAGTGTCTACACGTCCGGCTACCGGACAAATAGTGCGGGAGATATTCTTCCGGCGGGCATGTCACGTGACAGCACGTTGACTAGTATGTGTTATTATTCCGGCAGACATGTCATGTGACAAGAGGTCGCCAGCAAAAACTTTTTTTTAAAATCTGTTATCTTGGTTTAAATATCTTATAAAGTTCTACCTAGTAGCCTAAATTTAAAATATGATCCAAAAAAAAATAAGACCAATACTTGCTAGATGACTGTCAGATCTACTGTCAAAAAACTTTATTTTAGGCTATTAATGTATTGCATGAGAAGTAGGCTACCCCAACAGCATAATACGTCAATGACCCTATATTACGATATTATAGGGTCTATTTCTTTGTGAACTTTCGACCTCCCCGCTTTAATTATTTATCACCCTCACTATCATTTTATCCTTTCTCTCTCGCTCTCAGTATTTCTTCCTTCCTCTAGTATTCATTGCTCCCCCCCCCCCCCCCCCTATGCCAACGCCTCCACTGTCTTTAATGCCACAAGGGGGGGGGGGGGCAAATCGAAAATGGGTTATCTAGATTTTGAAAACCAACCCGCTAGTATGATTTAACTTGTATTTTAAAAGGAGAATCGTTAAAGTCTCAATTTAAAATAAGCCTTCGTTAAAAGTATTGTAAAAAATCTTTTGATTTTAAAAGTAGTCAATAGTCTAAGTTGACAAATAAATGGGTGCTTAAAATTGATAAAAAAATGAGAATCCAGAAATGCTACTTGTACATTGTGTTATTCATAGGGAAAACTTGGTAGCTAAAAACATTTCGTCTTCTCTTAATGAAGTACTAAGTTCAGTTCTAAAGTGTATCAATGCTATTAAAGCTAATGCCAAATGTAAACGTCTCTTTAAACAATTTTTTTGAAAAACAAAATGCGGACTGTGTGAGACTTTTACTTCACACTGAAGTAAGATGGCTTTCAAAATGGAATTGCTTGAAAAGATTTATGGAACTATTTGATACTCTTTAAAGTGTCAAACCTGAAATGAATGATCTGTTAACGGTCGATAGTAAAGCATTTGTGAGTTATTTAGCCAATATCTTTGAAATACTTAATTTATTAAATAACCAACTTCAAGGAACAAATTCTTATCCATGCAAAAGTGAAGATATTTGGTTTCATTATTGAATTATGTAAGAAATATATTTACAAAACACATTTTGAAAAGTTGCATTGGCTCCAAAAATGTGAAGTGTCTTTTACCGCTATACTTGTTATTGTCGATTGTCTGAAAATTATATCGGCTGATAAGAAAGATTTTCTGATTTGAAACAAATTGATTTTCCAACTTTGATGATGCAGCCAATGTTAGTGGATTTCTCTGATACTTCAAATATGCAGTATCAAGAAGAACTGGCGGACATGCAAAATGATGAGTCAGTTAAAACTTTATTAATTATAAAAGGAGCACATGGCTTTGTGGGGAAACAGAAATCAAAGATCCAAAATCAACCAAAATGTGCAAGAAAACTATTGTTATCGTTTCCATCTTCATATTTAGCTGAATGTGGATTTAGTGCCGTAAATGATTTGCTGCAAGAAAGAAAGGAAAAGAAATGGGCTGGGTATAACACACACAACGGGGAGACTTGAGACTGAAGCTAACTAAATTGAAACCTAACATAAAATATCTTATCAGCAAGCATCAAGCACAAACATCTCACTAACGTTAAACAATAAATAATTACCAATAATTAAAATAATACATAAATATATATCATTAAAATTATTTCGTAAATGAATGTCAGTTCTCCATAAATGTTTTGAACATTTACTTGCTATGATTCCTCACCAATTTCATCTTGATTTCTTCCTAAAACCTATTATTAAAGTTTCTTTAGGGAACAACCCTATTTTTGAACATTTTAAATTATGTGATTATAATACATGTGGGGCATAAGAATGTTAGAAAGTCTTAGGTGGGGCATGGCACAAAAAAGATTGTGAAACACTGCCTTACAAACAAAAAGGTATCGTCAACACATATAATACATGTGGAGCACAAGAATGTTAGAAAGTCTTAGGTGGGGCATGGCACAAAAAAGATTGTGAAACACTGCCTTACAAACAAAAAGGTATCGTCAACTTGTTTAGATATTTTACATGCCTTATAATTGGAGAAACACGGTATTCGGTTATCAGACTAACCCTAACCTAAATTTTGTCATTTTGTCACATAGTCGTTTTGTCACATTGTCGTTTTGTCATCTTGTCGTTTTGTCACATTGTCGTTTTGTCACTTGTCGTTTTGTCCTTTGTTGTTTTGTCACTTGTCGTTTTGTCTTTTGTCGTTTTGTCTGGTTACCGTTAGACACATCTTTAGTAAGGCATTCATTGACCTCATCAGATCCACTAGAACACCCTGTAATATTAAGAGTTGGAGGGTAAACAGGTCTGCTACATACACACACACTGATACACACACATACATTTATTAAATTAGCCACTTTGATGAAAATTTCAAAACATTTTTAAAAATATAAAAATACTACAGCTGTATAGAGCCTGGAGAATAGATTACAAAAAACACCAAGATCAACTTTCTAGCTCAAGTGGTTCAAAAGTTATGAATTTTTTAGTAGGGACCTCAAAGGCACTTTTTTACTATGGGATTTTCCTCCACATTTCGTGACCCTCAATTTGCTTTTTTTTTAATGCCTATAACTTTATTGTAAAATGAGACAAAATATAACATTTACAGGGAACATAGTTAAATAAGAGTACTTCTAAATAAAGACACAAAATATAAGTTAGTTTTTGTTAATATTCCGCAAAAATTAAAAAAAAAAAAATCTGGATTTTTTCCTTTTAAAACATGTATAAATATGCTGACTCTTCACTTATTTGAAATTAATTAATTAATTTTGTTTAAATATTTTTTTTAAAATTTCCCAAGAATCATAATAATAATAATATTCTTTAGATATAAATTTCAAATTTTCTGTGGAATTATTTAACATTTATAAGTATAAACTAATAATAAAGGGATTACTTGTTTCATTTAGTTAAAATTTACAATTACACTTTTTATTTTACCATTTTCTATATATGTATTTTAGTCCCATATCATATGAATGTCTGAATATGAAAAAAAAATAGTATGTCATTTTTTTACAAGTAAGTAATCTTGTTTCACAAATTAAGATGCATTGATAGAATCAACTTTGGTGGTTTATACAAACTAAAATAAGTTCTAGCCATTTGCTTGTGGTAAGTATAAGTTTTTATGATTGTTCTTTAATATTATTAATAATATCTTAAGTAATTCTTGGACTATTGTGGCAGAAAGTGTGTTTTTTCTTTGAGAATACAAGGATTATGTAATAATTCTCTTGTGAAATATTGTGATATGTGATTAAATATAGGATATTTCAATATGAAAGGTAAGTGACTATTTTTTTTGTTTATATTTTTTCTTAATCTATGCATTAAGAATCATAATATTCATTAAAATATCATTACAAATAACAAATGTGTCACACAAATAATGAGTTGGGCAGGAGCTAGGCCTATACTTAAAATAATATACTTTATATATATTTAACTTTCATATTTAATATATTAATTATAATAAAAATGAGGCTAATAATAATTCAGTTTAACCCACTACCCAAGTCAATACCCTTCAATAAAAGAATCAAAACAAGTTAAAAATATATATTTATGTTGTTAAGATAGGTATCTGTGTTATTAAATTATTTGTTTTTGTTTTTGAATGAGTTATTAGGGGGCAATATGCTGGATTTCCAGAGTAAATCAGGTTATTTTACATAGCAACAAATATTAACGATAATAGGTAATTTTGGGACACACGTGATTAAAATTTATTGATGAATTTTTGACCAACTGGCTGGGCCTAACTTAGCATGTCTTGGATATGTTGTAGTTAATGCCATTATTTATAAAGTACCTCAAGTTCAAAGACAGAATCCTTTCCACAAAAAAAATATGAATGAGTAAAAATTGCATTATTTTTAGGGGTGTGCCGGATCCGTTTTTTCCAACCGGATCCGGATTTTCTTATGCGAAATCCGCCGGATCCGGATTCCGGTTTCTCCCGGATTCCGGATTTTGGTACTATTGGTAGATACTTCGGTAAGTCAAGGTGGACTACTACTTTTTGTGTATGGGAATTCGCAATCGGCGCCAAAAAATCCGAGTTTTTAATTTTCCGATGTGTGTGTCTATTTATTATTAAATTAGTACTTTCGATATATATTTGAGTTCCGTTCCATTTGGATAAGTGTCTTACGAGAGACGCCATGTTTCTACGCGTTCGCAGCAGGTTATGCAGCTCGCTCAACCTAATTTCGCCATGGGGTTGGCCACGCCCCCCTTTTTAATGGCGGAAGTTGACGATACTTAGGAAATATTAATTTATTATCACTATTTACATCAAAATAATTGATAACTTGTGTTTCAGAATGCATTTAAAGACATTTAAACTGGAATGTTTTAATTTGAGCTTTAACAACCCGGTAGAATCCATATTATAAATGATCAGAATTTACCGTGTGCAACACGTTGTCATTGGCAACCATTCACAGCCACTTGCATAACTGTATCGTAGTACTACCTCAGAGTTTCATTCATAAGAGTTTGCCGTGTGCAAAAACTATTAAACCATTGGTCAGGGAAAGCTTTAATTAATTATTCATGTGCCAAAGTTGAAAGTTTAAACTAAGTCTAAACAGTATTTTAGTGATAAGGCAGGGAATGCGTTGCCTTATATAAACTATATAGTCATTGCGCATGACGGGATTGGCGGAATGAGATCACAGAATGTGGAGATGCAGTCCATGTTAAAAAATGACAAACCAAGTCGTACTTTAAAAATTCATAACTTTAAAACTACAACAGCTAAAAATATGATTTTGGTGTTATAATTCTTTAAAAAATTACATCTTTTCAACTATGCCATTGGTTTATTTTTACAAAAAGTTTAAATTTTCTTATCAAAGTCCCTACACTATTGGCCACTATTAGCGGTGCTGACTCTAGCCTCTGGTATGTACGGAATATTAAACATTAAACAAGCTCAACGCTCGAAACAATCGATTAATGTATCGTGATCGTGTGGAATTCGGGAAAGAGAATTACTTTTATTTCAGATTATGATCCGGTGAGTCACAAAATCTGGCAAATTCCGAAATCCGGTATATTCCGGAATCCGGTTGTTCCGGATACATGTAAATCCGGCGGAACCGGATTTCACCGGATAGTGCAAAATCCGGCGGAACCGGATTCCGGATCGGGGTCCGGCACACCCCTAATTATTTTACCTTCAATTTTCAAAGTGAAGCCCCAAAATTATTTGGGGGACTCAAGTGTCTAATCATAACACAACATGTCTACTCTAAGTTATGGGCAGAAATAGAATTAACATACTGGGCTATATATAGTTAAAAAGTCGTAAACAACGTGACTCTCGGTAAATTAAAAAGTGGAGGTCGCCATTTTGACAGCGAAATCACGATACCCGGTTTTCGGCACTTCCCGGATCTTACCGAACTACCTACCTTATTCGTCTATTCACAGCCCAGTGATGGATTCCGCAAAGTGACTGTGCTGTACGGCACTTAGGGTAAGACAAATCTTGACAAAACCCATACCGCCAACCCAAAATGTACCGGCCTTTATAGGTCAAGACCACAAATTCAAATACCCCATTTTGAGTTTGTCACTGTTACTGTTATCAATTAATATTGCAGTTGTCAGAGTTGTTAGTACAGGTAAGTTGACTGAAAATGACACTGACACACTTGTACTTGTAGAAAGAAATTTAGCATATTCTTCCATGAATGATGAGTACGAATTTATCTGAATTACGAACCATCCCCACTAATTGGCCTGAAATTAGGTACCGATAATAAAAATTAAAATATGCTGACTATACGACTATACGTCATTATACGTAAAATGAAAAAATGAAAGACATCGAGCAAGTGGAGGCTTCATGACAAAATAGTTAATTTGATATACATTGATCGGTATATGCGATTTGAACCACTGGATCTGGACCATCGTCTTGTGGAATAGGTTTAACATCTTTCCATTCTGGTCTATCCTTGAAAGGAACCCACGTGTCATGAGAACCTGTATCGTCTGAACTACCTTCCGACATTGTTGTTGTTTTCCTTTACCGGAAGTGGAAAACTAATGAATTTCCAGACCTCAGAACTGAAATATCGAAAGATCGCTTCAGCCTTTTATTTTATAATTAAAAAATGATAAATTTGATACAAATTGGATATAAATATATCAATTTATTTTTGCTCAGCCTTACCTTTGTTGTCTCTTCGGCTGTGTCGTGTCCAAATGCACACTGAAGCTTAAACAAAATTGCAATGTTAACTTCCTCGCTCTCTTTTCTAGTCCATAAAAGTGCATCACGCAATTTTTTGACAATTGTTTCCCCCTCCATCTCCTATCTCAATATGTTATAAATCTCCGACACCCGCACCCTAAATTATGCATCTCTTTCGAACTAAGCAATTGTTTAATTTTTTTAACTAATTAAAGTTAAATATAAAACAAAACACACTTTGCTATTAAACAATTATTTTATAAAAGTGACACATCTTGTGTCAGATCAGAAAACATCTAATCACTGTCAATTGTAGGCTTTATATGAATGATAAAAAAATTAAAATGTGTGAGTCACACAATAATCTACCCCCCCCCCCTCTTTTTTTCCTCTTTTTTTTTCGTGTCACATAACTGTCATACTTTATTAAAGCGTAATGTACATTATGGACACCCCTACACCAACTCTACAATCAAAAACAATTTAAGAGCCTTCTTTAATTTTGTTTATATTTTATTGCTTTCCCAATGTCGGGCACAAACAAACAAAAATGTGGAAGGTTCAAACATTTTAAAATTTTCGAACTCAGTATGCTTAAACATAAATCAAGTTCCTACAATTGTACTTATTTAATTTTGCCTTCTTTGATCCATGACCATCCATCTGCGAGAGACGATGGTGTCGCCCAGAGAGAGGGGTTTGTGAAGAGGTGTCAAGGGGGTGGGGGGTTTGTGAAGAGGTGTCAAGGGGGGTGGGGGTCTGTGAGCTCTGGCTTTCAACTGACTGAAAAGGGGTCCATTTAACAACAATGTCTGTTTTGATATTTGTGTTGAAAAATCTGACTTTGGTTTAAAGAGTCATCTCCTTTGACTCCTACATTTTCTTTAATAGCAAATATGCTGACCTAGCGTAGAGGCGTAGCTTTTATTAGTGCCACTATGGGGGCCAAATATTATGGCCGCTCTTTCTTTCACGATACAAACTGTGCAGTTGTCCGAAAATGCCGCGCCTCCACATAAAGAAAAAGTGACACCTGGGTGAACAACCTCATCCTGCCCCTTTCTACGCCACTGGAAGATGCGTAACTAGAGTGTTTGGCGTCAGGGGACATGATTCATTCTTAAGGCCCCTCAACTCTAAAACTAATTATTTTCAACCATTAAAATCCATCAAAGCCCATTTTGGTGTCCGCTAGTCTGGCGCCCCAGTCTATGTCCCATCTCCCACCCCTTAGCTACGCCTCTGGCCACTGCCCACACGCAACTGGCACTGTAGTCGGAATCATAGAGTACCTTACTACTTTTCTGCAATACTTTCTTTGTGTTGTGAATTTTCTTTTTTTTAAATAAGAAAAACAATTTTTTAATTTTCAGTGCGTTTCAACTCGACTTCGAAAAAATGCTTATTTAAAAAAGTTTTTTTTTAATATAGTCTATATTTTTCACAAATTAATTTTACATCAAACATCATTGCTAAGTATGAATTGATTTGATTAGGCTTACATTTTTGCAAATGACAATGCAGTGCACTGAAAAAGGTTAATGTGTACAGTGACCTTAATTTAGGGTTACCAGATGTCCGTATCTAGTACGGACAATTTGTATGTTCGATTCTCTCTCCATACTAATTTTTGCATCCGTATTTATCCGCACTTTCCCCTCGTCGCCCAGCTTGTCCGTAATTTTGGCAGCGATGACTTGCTTGTATTATTTCCATGTGTCTTATCAACAAAGGGCAGTCCAATGAATAGGTTCAGCAAAATCGCGCGGAACATTTCTCAGTTAACGCATTACTGGTGCGCCTGCGTGATACCCCTTGAGACTATCTGCTCAACTTCTGCCGTGTCCTATGTGGACAGGGTGACTCCGGCTTTCGTGTTTCTTGGCCGTTGTCTTTGAAACTTTGACAGGATGAGTTTCACAAGTGCGTATTGCTCAATTTTTTTTTTTTTTTTTTTAAACTCAACTTCAGAGATCCGGTTGTATTTCCTACATAGCCGCAAGCTGCCATGTTTCAGGTACCGGTAACTGTCAAAAAGATTAAAACTCCATCATCATTTGTTGAAGTAGCTGTCTCCTGCCAGAATTTCAAGAAAGGTTTGAACAGAAACGTGTTCCACTTATTATTTGCAGTAAGTTGAGATATTTGGAATAAGCAGGTGAAATAAATGCAAGAGAGTTAGAAAAATAAATTTTTGCATTCTATATGTGCAACATATCTGCAGCGTTGGTTTGTTCACTTTGAATATGTTGCAATACTTTTTTGTGTGACTTTGAAAGTATTCTCTTCCTGAGACGACGTAGAAAGAAGCGTCACTTACTTATGTAAATGATATCGTCCCATGGCAAATTATTGATAGCGATCTCATTGAGGGGTCGTCCATTAATTACGTCAACACTTTTAAAGCAATTTTGCCACTTGTATCATCACAGACAGCATCTAAAAGACCTTGTGCTTTACCAAACTTTCAATGAACCCCCTATTTAATTATTTCAACATTTTCTACTCCCCCACCCCCCTTCCAAAAAAAAAAAGAAATTATATTATAAATGAATTTATAAATATTTTTTTTCTTTTGTGCTGATCTATTTTAATGACAATAAAATTGTAGGAAAAATATTTCTTTACATCTTTAGCTTGTTAATCAAGTTAAAAAATTTTTACATTTAAATTTTATAATGCAGAATCAATTGAAAGGTTGTTAAAGATTAAAAATCATTGTATGTGGTATAAATATGATTATTAACAGTATAGCTGACAATTATAGTACAGTTTCTAGCTGCTATCATATTCCCAAGGAGTAGTCAGGTTTGCTCTATCGTAAAATGACCATCAGAAACATCATTTTGGTTTGGGCAGGGGGGGGGGGCTTTTGCCCCAACCCCTAATTTACATGTTTTATTTAAATTGCTATGTACTGTGGCGCCTCCAGTAATAAACAGCTTAACAAGCCGACCAAGTTTTGGTTCACCCCACCTGAAAAAACATGAAATGACGCCCCTGACGGGCATAGTCTATAGCAGCTGATTGATCATTTCAATCTTGTGGCACTGATTTACCAGACAAGTCAACATCATCCTCATCTAACCATTTAGCACTTAAATAGAAGCATTGTCTGTGTGAGCATTAATTGCCATAAGCTCTCTCTATCTCCTTCCAGCCACTCGCATTGTTCGAATCCTTTTTTGTTGAGGAGCAGGTGCTAATTTCTTACATTCAAGAGGGCATTGTCGGTTCTGTTGAACATGCTTTTTCAAAATGTCTTGTGACATGTGATGCAAAATAGATGTTACAGATTTTGCAAATCCGTTCAAGCAGTGATGTTATTATTGTTACTCACTTTACATTCACTTATTTCTCAAAACATCGTATTCCTGCTCTATCAATATCATTTATGGTGACCGCACATGACTCTTGAACCTTGTCCTTGTTCCATACCTGCAACAGAATCTACAGGTGAAGAGAGGCCAACTTTTGACTTCTCTTGCACTAACAAAGTGTGCTAACATTCTGAAGAGTCATCTGCCGTGCACACACATTAAATAAATCTTATATTGTTAAAAGCCTCAAAATAATGACTATTTACACTTATACATTTTTTTAAAAATAATGTAATAACCAGTCAATTTTTTAGATTAAAATTTTAATAGAGAAAACATAATTGTTGACGTCAACTAATATAAACCCCACTCCCTCCTCCTTGTCAAAAACTGTCAAACATTTCCAAACCCCCTCCCCTAATTTGTTAACGTAAAAAATGGACGCCCCCTTATTAGCTAACTCAAATGTCAAACAATTTTGGTCATCTGCTAGGATGGAAGAATGGAACGCGTAAAATATTTCTGTGTATCAAAAAAAAAAAAAAAAAATGAGCGCAAAAGCTTAACCATTTTAAAGCAAATGAAAAAAGCAACTTTCTGTAAACTTACAATGTCAAACAATTTTGGTCATCTGCTAGGATGGAAGAATGGAACGCGTAAAATATTTCTGTGTATCAAAAAAAAAAAAAAAAAAATGAGCGCAAAAGCTTCACCATTTTAAAGCACATGAAGTAGGCTACTTTCTGTAAACTTGCAACTACCGCTTGAGTTTTCAGTCAGCATTCCCGGCACAAATGCCCCCGTGGAGCGAGCTTTCTCTCAGGTAAAAATATATTTAAAAATCGGTTGAAAATTGCCAGGGATTGAACACTTAAATGAACTTTCTGGAAAACTATAGACTGGCCCCAAATTGAGTGCATATAATTACTTTAAAATCAATCAATAGTTCATTATGGACTATTACGATATGGTTTCCAAGCTTGGCCAATATTTACGTGGAAACCTATATTGTTGTCTAAGCATACAGCTATTTAACATGGCTTATATAGCTAAAAAAATAAAAAGGGTTACCTGGTTTTGTAAATTTGCATCTGGATTATCAAGTGCATGTGTACTTAGTTTGGTCCAGATTCATCCACCCATTTAGGAACCTTCGTTTGAAATTTTATTTATAAAGCGTAAATATAAGAAAGAAAAGAATTTTGCCCCCCCCCCATCCCCCGCCCAGAACATGATATTCAAATTTATAACCACCCCCACCACCCAAGTATTTCATCCTAGATCATAAAGGGTACGTGTAAGCAGTTTGGTAAAGATCCATTAATTCGCATAGAAGCGAATAAGGAACAAACCCACAAATTACATTTTCACTTACATGTATATGCTAACCAATATAACCGGCGTTGCCTTGGATTAAATTCGGAAAAAAAATAACAACTCATCTTCTACAGCCTTTTAGCAAAATAAAAATTAAGAAACCTGTAAAAAAAAATAATTAAAAACGTCCTTTTAAGATAAATATT